TGTGTTGCTGAGAAGGCAAACAAATGAACTAAATCCATATATTCTGTCCTTTCAGAGTCCAAGGCTTTGCAATCTCTGTCCCAGGGTGCCAGGTTTTGGTCTGTTCCCTGATTGACTCACTTGACTCCTTTAGTAGGAATCTTCCCATGGGAGCACTGTGAGGAGTTCTGCACATCCTCGTTCTTTGCCTGAGGATGAGGCAGTGGTGGGGCCTGTGAGGTCTTGATCCCTCTTGTATTTAATCTTGGAGAAGAGAAGGATTGCACAGACATCCTTTTAAAGAGCCACATGCTCCAGTGTGATGAAAAGGAAGACAGAAGACAAGCTGTGGCTCCAAATACCTCAGTGCAGATTTTGGTTTTTTTTTAAGAGGACACTTGCTCTTAGGGTCTTTGCATGATTTCAGGCTGTAAATGCAACTTTTAGGTTCAATTCCTTCTCTCCTGCCAAATTGTCATGGGTGTTCAGTAGAAATACTGAGTTTTCCCCTGAGGCAAATAAAATCTTGTGAAGGACAAAGAATTTGGGAAACACTGGGATGAAAAGGAAATAAAGGAATTGCATGGCATAGTTTACAAATAAAAATCCCAAGATGTTTTTTAATCTTACAAAAGAATGATCTGCTCCTTCTCAGATGCTACACATTTACCTTTGTACTTAATTCTGTAAATAGGTACTGTATTGTAATCCTTGTTGAGAACATGCAACTTAAGTTATACCATTCAGCCTGAAAATACTGGGGAAAAGCAGTGATAGGATAATACATGATCTGTGTGAATAGAGGACTGTTTATAGCATGTGGCTGTCAGATTTCTGTTTGCTTGTCTCATTTGAGCATTCTGACAATCAATATTGAAGTGCTGCTCTGGTTGTGCAAAGGCTTGGACAGAGTAAGTGCCAACCTGACCACTCCCCTTTTGGCAAACTGCTGTTTGGCTTCTCTAAGTTTTGTGAATTTTCATTAGGTATAGTCTTTTCTCAAAAAGGAAGGAACTAATAATGAAGTAATTTTTTTCAGGGCTGTGAGCAAGACCATTTCTGCAATTCTTGGCATACACATTTAGAAGAAAACAGTAACAGTGCATGTTCAGGTCATTAATTTTTATTTATGTTGACAATATACTCACAGGTTTTCTACTGCTGGCAGTAAAATTTTGGCTAATGTGCACTGCTTATTGACCTCTCATGCACTTCCAAGGGAAGTCTTGCTCTCCCATATATTCTCTATTAATCTCATACTGAAATTTCCTTTTTATTTACAAACCAGCCAAAAATGGGCAATAATACTGCAGACTGTCCCGAAACTGCCCAGCTAGTCCTGTGCTGTCAGCATCATTCCAGCACTGCCAGTCAAACTACCTTTAGCAGTAGTTGCAGAGGAAAGTTGTGTTAAACTTCTCTGCCCCCCACCAGTGCTTTGGGGTGAGCTTAAAAAAAAAAAAAAGCAGCAGTTCTTGGCCCCATACTGCCTTGACAATCCTATCCAGTTTTCCCTTTAATGTTTGCCACATATGGTTTTGAAATCCAGTGTCTGACTTCTTTTCTAAATATAGCATCATAATTCTTTTTTAAAATTATCGATGCCATGAGTCTTATTTGTTTTCAAGACATTTTTTCCTCCTTTTGTAATATAACAAAGTATTGAGAGTTCTTGTATTGTCCATTTCTCATAGGCACATTTGAAGACATTTTATTCATTTTTCTTTATGTTTTGCTGCATATTGGGAAGCATCTCCTTCCCAGATTTTAATCAGAAAGCAGAGTAGCAAAGAGCACATCCCTTGGCCAGGGTGAGCAGCCTGTGCCCCACTATCAGCACAGAGTTTTTCCACACAGCTGTGCCTGGTTCTTTGGTAGCAGAGGTGGACCAAAACCAGTGGTGGTAGCAATAAGGCACAGGCTCAGTGGTTTCTTAGCTGAATTTTGAGTGTTTGTCTCACACTGCACTACCCAGCTGTAACCTCCTCGTGTACTTGTGTTATTGGAGTGACCAAATGGAATTAACTTCACCTGAATGGCTTTGAATTTGCTCTTCCATCATGCAGGATTTTGTCTCAGAGGTGAAAAGTGGCTGAATGTAAGCCTGGATGGTGAAAAAATAAGTAAAGTGAATGAGTTTTATTTCCTCATCTCCCTGCAAATATTTGTATTTTTTATCTAAAAGGCAGGAAGCAGCCTGTGATTTTAGTAATGTGCCTAGAATGAAATCTGGGGTTTTGAACAGCTTTCCCTGCTTTGGCAGTGCTTTCCATTGTCAAGTTCACAATGACTTGTAACAGAACTATTCAGAAGCAATCCTACCAGTGCAGATCTCAATTTTAGTGGCCTGTTACACCCCAAACCACTCCACTTCTTTTGGCAAAGAAAAGAATATACAGTGTTACATCAGGGAAGAAACTGGTAAATGGCATTTGAAAGCAAACAGTTTTATTCATAAAGAGAACAAATCATACCAGAGTACAAGCAGAGTCACAACTGATGATGGTCTTTAACAAGCAGACAGTTCTTCTTGGGTAGTGCAGAGAGATAAAAAGTTATTTTAAAATCATGTGGTATTTTTAAGTTGGAATCAACAGGTTCCATCCTGCTAATGTATAACTAAGGTATAACTAAAATAATGTTTGAAAAAACAATATGTAAGGAAAAAGGCAGTTTTAAATAAGACTGGTAAAACATCCAGAATGATATGAAATATTGTTGATTTTCTTATGGATTACCTCAAATTTTGGACTCATATTGTTGCAAATAATGTATTCTGTACCTGACTGCTGGAATTAATTACAGTCATGGCAAGAAGATTGCTGGAGTTTTTTTGTTGATAATCACATGCAGCCAGTGACATAAAGACCTGGAAGACTGCCAGAATTGCAGTAACTGAATAAAGCTAATTTCTTACATAATTTCCTGACTAGCACTTTCCCAGAGTACAGTAACCCTGCATACAGCATTTGAAAACATTACCAACAGCATTACAGAATGAGGCCCAGTACAATTTAATATCTGAGAGAGGATGAAAATCTAAGGATACAATGTCAGTGGAATAGTCAGAATGGACTTGTATTCCTAAATGTTTCTGTAGAAAAGTTACAGTGTTCTCTGTGTGTCTAGGGCTGAAATAATTTCAAGATTCATCACTCTTTGCTAGTAATGATTTCTTGCTTTTTCGGTTGGACTCTGAATGAGACTGGTAACATAAAATAGTGAACTTTGCAGATGGAAAGGAACTGGTTTTGTAACAGATTGAGTTTTGGGAGCAGGGTGTGGGTAGAAAAAGATATGCATTGCTGGTTTAGTCTCAGACATGTGGTCAGATCCTTTTGTTTGAACCTCCCCACATTCTTCAGGATGTGAGTGGGAGTATTCTCCCATACATGAAAATCTTAAGCGACTCCTGCGACTTCTCTTACAGTGAACCTCTGATACTACTGGTTTCTAAGAAAATAATTTTAAATTAATGTTGAGGTAGGACAGGCATGGAGGTCTAAAGACATGGTGAAATACACAGTGCTTCTGAAATCTGCTGATGAATGAAAGGTGGTGTGAACCACAGCCTGCAAGCTGCAGAATGGTGAGTAAAGGTAATAGTGACAGTCTGAGGCTCCAAATGAGTAGCAGTTGTATGCTGCACCTTCAGCTTTCTAACACAGTGGTTATGTAGTCAGAAAGATTAAACTTGTTCCATTTAGTGGCATTTATCTTCTGATGGGAGTGGTGGTTGTAGATGCAGCAGCAGAATACAAGAGCCAGGGTGCAGCTTTCTTTCCTTACCAGGCACATCCATTGCTCTGTGTGTGGACACCGGTATTTGTGAGAGGAATATCCAGCTCCTTTGACTGGCTATGAGCAGTTCTGCCTGCTGATCATTCAGAGTTTCTCCCCTCTGGTAAGGACTAAATTGTCTCAAGAATTTTCTTCTACAGACCTGGGAAGGTGAACTTTTTAATTCTTTCTTTTTATTTTAAGTTGGGTAACTTTTGCTCCCTTTATGGCCTATAGAGTTGACTGTGTTTGCTTTCACCTCTCTTCCACTTGGCAAGAAGCCAAACCATGACTCTTGGTGGAGGGATGCAGACTTTCTGGTAAAATTGAATATCTGGTAGGATATATGGCTTTGTCCACAACATAAATTCTTAGGAACATGGGAAGTGTAGTGAATATAGACATTTATGAGCACCAAGGTGCCCATGCAGCCCTCATGCAATTCTCAGGGATTGAAGCAGAGCCCATAGGGTGTGTCTGGAATATTATGTTAAAGTACAACTTTCCAATCATGTTAAAGCTAGACTTCCTGTATTTAAGTGTAAACTGCCTTATAGTTTATGCCCAAGTGTCTTTACAGCATTACAAGGGATCTTTTCACCAGGATTTAGCTGTGGTCAGGAATATGTTAATGTATGACAACATCTTATGTTGTAGTAGACAAATTTTTGCTCTCTGTAACTAAACCATGAACCCACAGAGAGAGAGAAGAAACAAAAGTACATATCCCACTTAAGGGAACATTTTGCTGCTGTTATCTTTAGGAGTTATATGACATCTGTGAATTTAGCCTAATATACCTGATCCTAAAAAAAATGCCAATCACCTCCTCAGCCAATCTTAGTAGTGAGAGTGGATATATTCTTTTTTTTTTCCAAGTTACACACAAACTGTTGACACATCATGGTTCAGTTGTGATACACTTATAACATGACTGAACAAAGAAAAGTATTTTTTTCTACATGACTGCTTAGCACACAAACTCAGAGTGATTGGCAAAGCTGAAAACAAAATATTTTTAAGAGAAAATAAAACAAAGCAGGTTATTTAGTAGAGAAGGGAGAGGGGAGTTTTCTTATTGCATTCTGCTTAAGGGACAAAGTGGGGAAATTCCCTAATGTTAGCATGACACAAGATCTTATGTTTGAAGACTTGCAGAAATGTATCTCATGTGGTGACTAATCTCATTTGTCTTTTCTGTTTTTCTGTCACCATAACTGTGATGTTTGAGGACAGCTGGTGTTCTCAGAGCTGAGCCATCCTGTGTGTGTTTGTTCCATGTAAGTCCAGAGACTGAGCCAGCAAGGGCGGCAGTGCAGCCAAACTTGGAGTGCAGAGCCTTGTTCCTCATGCCCTGACAACAGGACTTTCAAGGTGAGTTGTCTTATGACCTTGGGGAGATTATTTTTTTCTGAACAGACACATCCAACAAAGTCATTATCTCAATCCACATGGAGACAGTGAAGCTCAGGAACTCGAATCTATGGACAACTGCATTAGAGGCAGAGATGATTTTGGTGCTCAATATTGTTCCCCTATATCAAAGGGATATATTTAGATAACCTCCCACTAGAAGGTGAAATAAGAGCTTTCCTTTTTCCCAATTTTTATTGAGAGAGCTCTGCTGGGCAGAGTGTTAAGTTCTCCTTCCCATATTCCTAGTGAGTTTTTTTTTTTCCCTAATATTTTAGGGTTTTGTAATGAAAGTGAATTTTAAATGTTGAAGGATAATGTGGGGGTTTCTGAAACTGAATAGGTAAACATATGCTGGGATTATCTTATTTAAGACATTCCTTGTTTGCCACAAAAGAAAAAGAGGAATCCAAAAAATGTATTGCACTTAGCTGTAGCTGTCATGAATGCCAGAGGAGGTCCCATAAAGGGGCTGAAGGTATTTTATTCTATCAATTTGTCAGACTAATCACTGTCTTGTGAGAGGAGTTATTTCAGTAAAGAATGAAAGTCAGCTCTCAAGTGAGAAGGAAATGAATGATGTGAAGAGATACCTGACTCATAATTAACTCTGACAGGTGAGTGTGCACAGTGTTATATAATATTGTATGAACACAGTTTGAAGGCAGTGTATGGTGAGTCACAAATTCTGCATTCTCAAACTTTATAAACCATAGCATGAAGTGATTTTTCTCCTCCTAGATGCTGAATTTTTTGAATAGCAAAACCACTTTTTTGTGTCATATCCTGCTGGTTGTTAAGTACAACTCCTGCATGTCTTCTTCTCTTTCAAAAGTCTCCAGGTGACTCAAGAAAAAAAAAAAAAGGAAGGAGAAACTGGAATATTTTTCAAGAATACATTGCATTCAGTGCATTTTCAGAATCCACATTCCTCTCATATGTATTTCAGTAGCTCTTTGCTAGTTGTGTTCTTCCACAGTGTGTATTTTACTGTGTTCGTTGAGTTATTGTCACTGTTGATTTTAAAAGTCTTAAGGGTATTTCATAGACAAAAAAATCATGCTGAGGTTAAATCAAGTTTAATAACACTTCTTGTTGAATTCTAAGAGGATCATTCTGCTTGAATACTTGGCAGCTGTGAAGTGTTTTAATGAACAGAGCCTTATTTCTATATGAATATTAACATTAATAATAACAATATTAACAGTGTTGATGAATATACATGTTTGTACAGCAAGCAGAAATCTCTTGTGCAGACTTTTTGCACCTCTTTTTCAAGTACATTTTTTCTCAAGGGATGCAGCCTGGAGCCCATGGAATGATTTTGTTGTGCAAAGATGCCAAGCACTAGTTAGTAAAGAGCTTTCAATTGCGAGTGCTCACAGGTGCAGAATGTGTTCCCGTACTTTTACTCTGGCTGTTCTAACCAGAAAATCCTTCTGTCTGTTCCCTAGCAATACATTGGCATCTGCAGCAGCACGTGTTACCCTGGGGTTCATCTTACAGAATGCACAGGAAGGAGGAAATTGTACATTTTGCCTCAGCACCTGCTCATCACCACCTTTATAATTCAGCTTTGCAGAGTAGGATTTGGGATGTCCTACTGTTGTGGTTTGACATGGAAGTGAGTTTTCTCAGGAAGTTGGGGTCAAACCAATCAGTGGTCAGGTTTGGATATTGACACTTGGAGAGATTCATCTCTCCCTTGATGAACTAAGAATTGATCATCTGAAAGGTGGTAACTTGATCAGGAATCCAAGGTTGTGTCTCACTGTGTTTTGGTGGAAATTGGATGGGGGGAGGAGGAATGTTTTGGAAGGTTGTCATCCTGGATTCAGGGTGTGTCTTTTTTCCTTTATTTCTAAGCTTGAGCTTGCTCTGTTCTGTTCCTGGTTGCATCTCACAGCACTCATTTGGGGAGGGTGTATTTTCATGGAGACACTGGCATTGTTCCAGGGTCAAACCATGACACCTACCCTCCAGAAACAATTCTGATCATAGTGATAGCTGAAGTTGTGCATAACTGACATGAGCAACAAGTGATGGCAGTGAGATTTTGCAAGGTAAAAGAAACAATCTGCAATTGAACTTCTTATTTATAATTATTGCTGACAGTATAAATGTTCCAAAAAGATCAAGAGGTGTTCCATTGTAGTTTTCTTATTTCATATATTGATAGGCTTCTAAAGCACACAGCAATTAGATAAATTGTCTACCAGTGCTCAGAGTGAGGGGCTGATGCACATTTCCTAAGCCTGTCAAGTGACATGTAAGCCAGAAACTGTTAGGTAGATCCCAGCAAAAATGGCTGGAATTTCAACCCTTGAAGAAGGCAAGACAGAAATCTTCAGCTGAACATAAATATATATATGTATATATATATATATATATATATATATATATATATATATACACACATATATATATACATATATATATATATATATATATAAAGCACTTAGTATTTAGAAAACAAAGGACAGTTCAGATGGTGCAGAATTCATTATATGCATGTTTTAGAATTTATTTTGCATGAATTCTAAGTAAGGAGCTTGCCAGTTCCTGTGACAAAATATTGTAATTTATTGCTTCCCCACATTAAATAACCAGAAGGAGGTTTTTTTTGTAGATCTTTAAAATGTCTGTTGAATGTCACAGATTTCTAAATTGAAAAGGTTAAAAAAAAAAAAAAAAGGCTTTTTGGACCAGACAACATTGTACAGAACACTTATTTTTGCTTTTCTAATCAATACACACAATTTCTTAAAATCTGCCAAATATACTGTGAAGTATGCAGGTCAATTATTTAGAATTATAAAAAAATGTAGCACTATCCCATCCTTGATATTTTACTATGTCTTGTATTTTTGCTACATATTTTTGCCTTTCCCTTGAGTAGAACATTGGTTTGTTATATTATTTCATATATAAAAAATGCTAGTCTTCCATATGTAAAGTATTTCAATAAATAATAGTTGAATTTACAATTGAAACTGATAAGGCTGCAAGACCAGTTATCAAATTACATATAAACAGTGTATTAAAATGTGTGAGGCAAAATGAACACTACTAAGTCAAAAGCTGTGCTGTAAAGCTGAGACACTGTTTTTTCAAATGTTGCAAATCACAGAAAAACCCACTTCTCTGCATTCTTAAAAAAGTCCCTTTATTCTTTTATCCCAAAGAAAAGACATAAATGAAATCCTTGCTGAACTAATTATGCATCCAGGAAAAAAAAATGCAAATTTTTGTTTAACCATTTAACATGCTCATAGAGATTAACTCAGTGCACAAGGCCTGGAGAACAAATCAAAAAAGCCCTCTGGGGGACACTTTAGTTGGAGGGAAGAAAAACTGGCACAGCAGTAACTCCTAATGTGTCCTTTGCTGGTGAATGACCTGTGACTAGCATATTTTTCTTCCTGCAGTTCTGCACTGCATTGGAAATGTTGCATGCCCAGGCTTGGATATGTCTCTGACCCAAGAGAGGTGCTCAGAGGAGAGAAGGAAGCTTAATGAGATTAATGCCTAGTCTGGTAAGTCTCCATGTGACTCCTTGCATTGACCCCAACCTAGTTATTGCTGTGAAGAAACAAGCTTTATAAGATCAGGAACAAAGACACTGATGTCTTGTATGCTTTCTTTCTGAAAAAGAAACAAAATTAAGACCAGACAATGTAATTTGGCCTCTTCTGGCACAAGACTTCTGAACAGAATAGGAAAAATGACCTTTTGCCATCCCAAGAACAAATAATTTTGTCCTCATTAATGAAATGGCAAAATGTGGACTTGCAGCAGAGACAGAGCAGTTGTGTTAAGGACCATTGCTCCTGAAAAAGGCTGGAGGGGGATTGGGATGAGCGAGCCCTGCAGAGCAGTATCCTACAGCTCCCCTTGTGCACCACTCTGCTGTGCTGGGACCCAATGGAGGTGTGGGCAGAGGATGGGAGGAGCAGGGTGCACGCAGCCCTTCGTGCAGGACATGCTGCCCTCAGGGGCACGGGGCAGGGCTGGCTGCAGCAGCAGCACCTCTGGGCTGCTCCTGGCCTGGGGCATCTTCTGTGCTGAGCACTGAGGTGCTGGACAGGGTGACATTGAGGGGGAAGATTGCTCAGCCAGCACCAGGGGTTTTGACTATTTGTTTTGCTTGTTTCCAAAATGAGTCCCGACTCGAAAGCTTTTTCAGCAGCTGAGAAATCTACAGTCTTTAGCTCACAGCCCAGTCTGTCATTTTGTGTTACATCATGCACTATTCCAGGAGGTAGAGCTGCCTATGATTTCATAGCACAGTTGATTTTCTAGCTTAATTCCTCAAGGGACCTTAAAGGAAATGGAAACCTACAAATAAAATGAAGAAATTAAAATACATTGCTAACTCTAAAATGCAGCATTTATTTGTGTTAATAAAATACAAAATAGTAATGATCCTTTATACTGGATTTGATTTTAGTTCTGCAATGGTTCAATAGGTTCCTGCTAATAGGTTCCAATCTCACTGTGTCTTTACTTTGGGATATATTTTTGCAGAAGAGGAATTCCTTTCTGAGGGAGGTGATACTATGGAAGGTCTCTAATTGTTCTTAACAGGTTGTAAGTTTTCTGGGCTACTGTCGGTCTATAAAAAAAGTTGTGATTTAAAGTCTACCTTTCATCCCAAAATACCTTATTAGTTGGGTAATTAATTACCTAAGTTCCCCAAGTTGGAACACAGATACCAAGCTACTGAAAGACAAAATTTTTTCTTTTTTAAATTCTGAAGGAACAGTCCCAACTCATTCTAAGGCCTGTAGATACATTGTCTGGTCTTTTTGGACTAACTAAACTTCGGTGTAAATCAAAGGTGTTCTCTGACATGGAGGTTTCACATACCTCTAAAAAACCAAGGGTTTGTCCCATTGTGCTAAATTAAGGAGTGTGTGGTGTGTGCCGGAGGAAAATCCAGCCTAGTTTGGTTCCAGATGCAGGCTAACTCTGTATGTAAAAGTCTCTGTAAAAGTTAATCTTTCCTCCTTTGCTGTTAAGAAAAGTGAACTATTTTAGAGTATCCCATCACAAACTTGCCTCAGGGCAGCCAAAAGTGAAGAATGTTGTGCTGAAAAGATGCAGGAATGCTTTAAGAGGGCATTGCCTACTCTGGGAATCAGAGAGCAATTGTTTTGACTTCATGTTCTCAAGAAGATTTTGTGACACTGTGTGCCAGTTCAGTAACTCCTTTAACTTGTACCTATTCTAAAGTTATGTTACTAAAAGCAAGCAATTTTTGTCAACTCAGTTGTTAAGCCTGTTCAGGTATAGTTGTGAATAAAATTAAGTTAAAAGATAGGTCAGTTAATCTTTTGAAAAGGACTTGAGGGTGCTGGTGGATGAGAGGCTGGGCATGAACCAGCAATGTCTACTGGCAGCCCAGAAAACCAGTTGTGCCCTGGGCTTCATCCAAAGCAGCATGGGCAGCAGGGGAGGGAGGGGATTCTGCCCCTCTGCTCCATTCTGGTGAGACCCACCTGGAAGACTGCATCCAGCTCTGGGGCCACAGCCTAGGAAGGATATGAACCTGCTGGAAACAGTCCAGAGACCAGCAAGGTGCCAAGATGAATTGAGGAAAGGAGCACCTCTGAGGAAAGGCTGAAAGAACTGGGGTTGTTCAGCCTGGTAAAGAGAAGGATTTGGGGTAACCTAACTGTGGCCTTCCAGTACCTGCAGGGAACTTACAGGAAAGATGGAAAGAGACTTAAGAGTTATAGGACAAGGGGGAATGCTCCACATAAAGAGTAGGTTTAGATTAGATATCAGGAGAAAGCTCTTTACTGTGAGGGTGGTGAGGCACTGGCATAGGTTTCCCAGAGAAGCTGAAGCTGTCCCATCCCAGAAGTGTTTAAAGCCAGATTGGATGGGGCTTGGAGCAACCCAGTCTAACAGAAGGTGTCCCTGCCCATGGCAGGGGGTTGGAACAAGATGAGCTATAAGGTGCCTTCCAATCTAGGCTGTTCTGTGAAATGCTGCTCCTGATCAGAGCTGGCCTTGTGCTGTGTCCCATTTCCATCACCAGCTGGGCTGTTCATTTGTTGCTCGGACACACCCGCAGCCGGTCGGACACGCCCGCAGCCGGTGGAAGCGCCGCTGAGCGGGAGCGCCCGGCCCGTCCCGGCCGTGGCGGGGCCGGTGCCGCCACCGCGCGGCCCAACCGCGTCAATGCCCGGGGTCTCCTCGTGCCGGAGCTGCCTCCTATCACAACCACCTGGAGTTGCAGATATTCCTCCTCTTCCTCCCCCTCAGGCTTTGCGGCTGTTTCTGTTTCGGCTTTATGAGGTGACAAGCCAAACTGTCCAACAAAACATCGCTCATTGGCACTTACTGTTGCCTGTGGCAGATGCCTGGAAAGGTCAGATCATTGCCTCCAGGTAGCACAGTGAATCCTCATGTTTTAGTCCTCGAAGTTACCCCCTTTTGTCACAGAAATGTTTGTGTGTAGAGAGTAGACATGAGTCCTTCTTACTGGAGTATTGGTAGATGCTGGAGCATGTCCAGAGAGGGGAAATTAAGAAGGCTGAGAAATCTGGAGCATCAGTCTTATGAGGAGCAGCTGCAGAGACAGGTGGAAACTGGAGAAGAGGAGGCTCAAGAGAGACCTTATCACTCACGAGTCTGAAAGAAGGCTTTTCCAGATAGGTGGGTGTTGGTCTCTCCTCCCAAGTAACAATAAGATGAGAGCAAACAGCCTCAACTTGTGCCAGGGGAGGTTTAGATTGGATATTAGGAAAAATGTCTTCAACAAAACCTCACTGGAACAGGCTGCTCAGGGGAGTGGTGGAGTCACCATCCCTGGGGGGATTTCAAAACCAATTAGATGTGGTGCTTGGGGGCATGGTTCAGCGGTGGACCTGGACCAGTTGGGCTCTCTGACCTCAAGAGTCCTTTCCAACCTGAACAGTTCTATGGTGTATGCTTCATGCACCTCAATTGCATTTCTGTTTCCCAGTTTAGCTTATCTGGTAGTTTATACTGGGTTTTAATCCCTTCCAGTTCATCCACCCTTATAGAGATCAGCACAAGCCATAACACACTGGAAGTCCTTTTTCATTTCTGCCATCACCCTGTACTGCCACAAGAGCAAACTCCAGAGTCTGAGGTAGGACAATATTTTAGTTGCTTTTTCCATTTGATAACTGGAAAACAAAGGAGGTGAATGGTAATGCTTCCTCCCCTCTAGCTGCAATCAATACTCTTCTATAACTCAAAATCTGTCTCTGCAGTTGCTCAACACAGATTAGTTTCTTCTGTTTCTCTCCGTTTCCCTATGGGAAAACAATCCCTTTTTTTTTTTTCCTTCATTGGTTTGTGTTTTTTTAGTCATAGGATATATTCCTCTGCCACATACATCTACATCTATACATCACTTCCAGATTACTTAAATAATGTTATTAGGAAAAATGACCAAATAGGGGGATAAAAAGCAGCCTGGGAAACTTTACTCTGAGCATGGAAGAAATAAAGTGGTGGGTGAAATGGCTCAGAGGAGGAGGTTTCATGCAGAAGACAATTGATGGACAGGTGGCTGCTTTGCATGAGGTTGAATAATTTTGGTTGGTTCTCCAGATTCTCTGAAGACCCTGATTGAAACTGATGCTGTTCACAGTCTGTCACTAAGGAGCTGCAATCAAGTAGGGCTCAAATACTTCCCTCCCCCGTGCTCTTTGTAGCTGCTGCTGTTAGACAGGAAAAATCTTAGTTCAACTCTAGCATTGCTAAGAAAAATGTGACCTCTGAGCTCGAAGCGCCGTGCTTCTGAAGGGAACGTTCTGTAACACAGAAAGATAGAATCTTTTTATATATCACTGCTTAAACAGTGATCCAAAATAGTCTGTAACTGTCCTGACTTACACTGAGTCCAAAGCCTTGCCTGTTTGGCAGCCTTCAATGCACTCTTATTATCAAATCCAATCTGCAGCAATTAAATTGCATCTTGGCATTTGAAGGTGTGTTTGGGCTTTATGTGATGGGTTTGTTTGTTTGTTTGTTTTTGGTTGATTTTGTTGTTCTTTATTTTGGGTTTTTTTTTTTGGTTGTTTTTTAGTTGTATGTTTTGGGTTTTTATTTATTTTTTTTTCTCCACAGAATAAAGGGAATGTTTTTTTCCCTACGTCTTGGTTGTGTTTCTCCTTAGGTCAGGGAAGGCCGGTGGGTTTGCCCTCAGTTTGGAAAGGGATTGGTGGAACTCGGAAGCTTTTTCAGCAATCTTTGGCAAACAGCGCTTGTTGAATGTTACCGCATCTACCGCGCATCTCCTCCCGTGAGCCAGGCTGCAGTTCTGGGCTGGCTTCGGAGGAGCGCGGGGCTGTGGAGCAGCGCCGCAGCTTTGGCGGGCTGAAGTGCTTGGCCATTCACCCTTTGTCGTGTCCCCTCAGCGTCCCGCCCTGTTGCCCGGTGTCCCCTCAGTGCGAGGCGGTGCCGCCGTGCCCCCTCGGGACCGGGCCGGGCCGGGCGGTGCCGCCGTGCCCCCTCGGGACCGGGCGGTGCCGGGCGGTGCCGCCGTGTCCCCTCGGGACCGGGCTGGACCGGGCCGGGCCGGGCGGTGCCGCCGTGCCCCCTCGGGACCGGGCGGTGCCGGGCGGTGCCGCCGTGTCCCCTCGGGACCGGGCCGGGCCGGGCGGTGCCGCCGTGCCCCCTCGGGACCGGGCCGGGCCGGGCGGCGCCGCCGTGCCCCCTCGGGACCGGGCGGTGCCGCCGTGCCCCCTCAGAACCGGGCCGGGCGGTGCCGCCGTGCCCCCTCGGGACCGGGCGGTGCCGCCCCGCTGACGCGCTCCGGCGCGACGGCGGCCGCGCCACTTCCTGGCGGCGGGAGCGGGGCGATGGCGGCGCAGGACGTGCTGGGCCAGACCGCCCGGCTGGCCTCGTCCAGCGCCCTGCTGCAGGTGCGGGGCCGCCCCTCCCTCCTTCCTCCTCCTCTTGCCGCTGCTGCTCGGCGGGGCGCCGCAGGTGCTTCCCGTGCGGCTTCTTTCGCAGGTGCTGTTCCGGGTGGTCACGTTCGGGCTGAACGCCTTCACCCTCCGCTACCTGTCCCGGGAGCTGCTCGGCGTGGTCAATGTCAGGTGAGGGCTGTGCGGCGGAGCTCGGGCTGCTCTGCGCCTGTCACTGCGAGGCTCTGATCAATGCTCCTGGCCGTGTCACGGTGTTTGGTCATTTCTTGCCTCCCCAGGTCTGTTTTGGCCTGAAACACCGGTATCACTGTTGTGTGTTTAAACCATCAGTTTGGGGAGTAAAAACTAGATACAATGTGCTTTTGCTATAGGATATACTGTAGCTTCACATTTGGTCTGCAGCCTGTATTTTTGCCATTTGAAACATCACACGAAATTACTTTCCGTTTTTAGGAGATGGTGATAATTTTGCCTCGTATAACCATGTTTGCACACCTGTAGGAATTTGTCTGCCAGGCAGTCGTGTGTAAAAACTGATGCTACTGCATGAAGGATTTACAATTTATAGAAAAGAAATTGTTTTCTCTCCTTTTTTTTTTTCCCCTTTTCACCCTCTTTAGGCTGACTCTGCTGTACTCAACAGTTGTCTTCCTCGCCAGGGAGGCGTTTCGCAGAGCTTGTTTAAGTGGAAGTGCCAAGAGAAACTGGACCAAAACAATTAATCTCTTGTGGCTGACGTAAGATACCCTTAAAAGTTTACTTCCTTAAAATATTTTGTTTTTGTCTGGGAGCTCACAGAATGAGAAGAAGTGTTTATTTACTGAGATAATTATTTCAGAAGCCTCAGTTATGTTTCTGATCTAGGACTGTTGTAGGAACTTGCTCGAGTCTGGTGCTGTAGCATTTTTGGACTTGATTTTTTGTTGGAGCACATGAGGAAGTTCATTGCAAAAAGTGCCATTTTTTCTGTTCCTTGAGTTTTATTTGGGCTGTAACTTTTGAAGGAAAACCCTGTTGCACCAATATGTAGCCCTTTGTTTTTTCTTCGTTTTTTGCCCAGTTTTGTTCTTTTATTACCCAGTGTGCATTTGTGAACCTGCAACATAAATGTTTAGGTAGGAGAGATGTGAAATTAGACAACAAGGAGGAAGTAGGGTTGCCTCTTTCAGCTGTGATGCTGTTTATAGCAGAACAGCTTAAAGTCCACAGGACACTGCAACAAGCGATCACGCACTGCAGTGTGGCTAAAGTGGATTTTATAGCTTGTTTATCCTCCTGGTTCCTGATTCTCTCTGCTTTCTCCCTCTGTCAGCTCTAGCTGCTGTGTAGCCCCAACTGGGCTGGGCTGGGCAGTAAATTTACCTGCCTGATATGGTTGAAAACTACCCCTGCATGATCAAATAGTATTCTCCCACTGGGGCACCTGACTTTCCCTGGAACTGCCCAGCTGTTACTTGGATCTGGCCCAGAAAGGGGGGGTTATGAGTGGTCATCTTCATCCAGGTATGAAGCAGAGGGATTGTTCCTGTCAGGGAAAGGTGTAATAGTAATATTTAAAATACATTGTTTCTGTACTGTAGTCAGCTTTCTGCTGTGTGATAGCCTTTCAAGCAAGCTTTGGCAGAGATGACACTGATTGTGTGTATATTTTTGTTTTAAATTTTTCCTCATAGAGAAGCGTAACTTCAAATGAAGGTTAACTTTGGTGAAGCATCTGAAATACGTGTTAGGAGCTTGATGTCTAATATCTTAGGGGTCTGATAGTGTGAGGGTCGAAGAGATTCTTGCTGCAGTGATGTAAAACTTGATGGACTCTGTCAGGAGCTCTGTTTCTGAAGCAGTGTCAGCAGAAAAGGATGTGCAAGCTGATGTGGGATCAGAATTGTTTGCTCCTAAGGCACAAAAATGCAGATATTTGACCTAACGGGTCTGGAGTAGAAAATGGGCAACTCATAAAAAATGTTTTCTGTAGAGTGCCTTAAGGGTGTTCATTACAAAGGAAAATATTAATTCTTGGTATGGTAACAACAGGAATTAATTCCTCAGGGCCTTTTTTTGTGTAATCATTGTGGCCATATGTGATATTACATATGTGGCCATATGTAATCTAATATTTTTTTTCCTGTTTTGTTGGGGTATTTTTGTTTTGTTTTTGGTTGTAGTGTTTTTTGTTTGTTTGTCTTGGGTTTTTCCTTTTTTTTTTTTTGTTTCTGCTGCAGTAACATTTCCATTAATTAGTTTTTATATTTTTTTAGAGTCCCTCTTGGTGTCTTTTGGTCTCTTATCTTGGGCTTAGTCTGGCTATACTTGCTTGAAGTACCTGATCCTTCTGTGGTTCCTCACTATCAGGCTGGTGTAGTGGCATTTGGTCTTTCTGCCATTATTGAACTCCTGGGAGAGCCATTCTGGGTTTTAGCACAAGCTCATTTGTTTGTGAGACTTAAGGTTAGTAAAGTCTGTGGGGTGTGTGCATGTGGGGGGAATCTTTACTGAAAAGAACAGATTACTGACTTAGATCTTTGTATATTCAAGCTTACCTGTGTGTACTGTTTAGTACTGCGTGGCCTAGTTTGTAACATACCCAGGAATTTGTACCCATTAAAATAAGCAAATTGGTTTATTTAGACATTATCACCTTCAAGTTCCTTTAATCCTGAAACATAGGTTTTAACTGGAGGGAGAGACACTGCTTCCACAATTCTTCATGAGATATTGAGACTATGATAGTCTCAAGCAAATATTTTTTCCATATGTCCTGTAAAAAGAACGGGGTAATGCTAGAATAGAAAACATACAGAGCAATGACAATCTAAGCTGGTCAGCTCAGCAAAAAGAAACTGCCATAAAGTCATGCTGACTTTGAAAAATCTTACATTCCTACATCAATTCTGTGCATTAAACATATGTATTTTAAGCTTGTGTACATGCTTAAGTTGTCAGAAAATAACCCGTCTCTGTTTTGTGTTTCTTAAAGGTAATTGCTGAAAGCCTTTCAGTAGTGTCAAAATGCATTTTGACAGTTACTTTAGTAATCCTTTATCCTCACTGGGGCCTTTACATTTTTTGCTTGGCTCAGGTAAGTTCCCTTTGTTCCCTCTCACCTGAATTTTAATTTTCCTTTGATATTTAGCCTGCTAAAGAACTTTGTGGAGCTGAGAGAAAAAGCTCCTGGGAGGTTTAAGATTTAGAATTTATATTTAGTATTTTCCTAATATTCATTATTGACTTGGTGCTTTGACATTGAGTGAAAGGGAGGTAGAACGAAACTCCTTCCATCTGTGAAGGCACATCTTGCAAATAAGGTTATGTTATTCTAATCACACAGAACCTTATCAGCCTAATCAAGTGCTAATCAAGTGCAATTAATTCAGGTTAAAACTTTTTCTTGATGACAATGAAGGAGGGATAATTTTTCTCCTTCAAGTTTTTGCCCTGGCTGTTGTAGATCTCTTATAACTGATGGAAATTGGAAATGTTCTATGAGGTGAGAGATGTAGGCAGTAGCTACTCTGTCAGCTTGATTTTTGATTGAGTAATTGCTTTATAATTGGACCTTCAACGTTCTATAAATGATGAATAAAGCAGGAAAATTATCAAAGGCCTATGATAACCTATAGGTTAAAAAAAGGTAAAAAGCTCAACAGCATTCTCAAGAACTGTTCAAATCCTTACCTAGTTTAATATTTGGTAGGCATAAGAACTACTTACATTTTCTTCTCACTGTATTTTCACCTAATATATAATTCTGCATTTCTAAGTTAATTTGGTTTCACTGTTTTTCTTTTCTCGTTCCTGATCTTCCCAGCTTTTATATGTCAGTGTTCTGGTAATGTGCTATGTAATTCATTTTGTCATGTTTTTGGGATCTCCTGAAGCCACAAAGAAATCATTTCCAGTTGCTAGAGTGAAAGGTCTATTACCTAGCTTTGTGGAAGATGAGGTAAGTTGTGCAATTTATTTCTTGATTTTCTTCTTAAAATCTCACGTGAAGGCACTTTGAATGTTGCTTTTAGACTGGGGTGTAAATTGAGTAGTTTTGGGGTTATTTTTGCACTATAGAAGGATATGACTGATTAAGTTAAAAATATTACATAGAAATTGTATTTGAAGTTTATATTAGTAAAATTCTTGTCAGAATAACTTAATGAAACTTGAACTCTTTGTGGTTTTGGGTTTGTTGTTGCCAACTGGGTGTGCGCAAAATATTAGCAGACATTAACTGGAGATAGACCATCTCCACTGTGCAGGGGAATGACCAGCTATCACTGGATCTGAGGCAGAAAATAAACCAGAACCATATAACAGTGAATTTTTTGGTACTTTGATCTCTGCACAAAATAGCCATAATGTTCCACAGCATCCTAGAGATACACAAATATCCCTCAAACAAAAATGAAGCAAAGAAAGAAATTAAAAGACTCATTGAGGAAGACAACATTCTGGATAAGATTTACAGATTGGTTGCGAGTCTTAAAAGGACAGTTTGAAGAGCAGTAAACAGTTCATATCTCCAGTGAGGGTAAAGTTATATTGGCACTTTAAACACTCTGAGTTCCTAACTCTAGCCTTGATTAGTATTTTCTGTAGAATGCTCTTATGGGTACTTTCAGCAGCAGCAGCACTTTCCAACAAGCGAATCAGTTTTTGCCAGATCAGTGATGTTGGTGCTTGAATTCAGCAATATTTTACTAGTGGTTAATAACTGTGGCATTGTGGGTTTCCTCACCACTGCAGTTAGAGCTACCCTAGCGTTGCACTGCCTTGCTGTTTTCTATTTCTACTCTGTAACATCAATCACATTTGTTACATTTCAGTATTTATTTTCAGACCTTTGTTAACTGGAAGGAAGCACGCTTGACATGGAGTTTCTTCAAACAATCCTTCTTGAAACAGATTTTGACAGAGGGTGAGGCTTGACATAAAGGTGTGAGGGAAGAGGGGTCATGAAAACTATTTACAAAATTGACTTAAAGCTTCAGGAAGCTTGGGTGGGGGAAGATGAGGCACATGATTGCCAACCTGAAAGGAGTTTTTGAAGGTTTTCAGAACTAGGTGCTATCCTATTTGACTTTGTCTCTTGAATGCTTAGTATTGGAAGTGCCTGAACAAGTATTGGGTAGGATTTAGAGGCTTGTTCTGAAGTTCTTTATTTTGGACTTACAGGTGAACGTTATGTGATGACTTTTTTGAATGTGTTAAATTTTGGAGATCAGGGTAAGTATGATGGTATTGTGGAATGGTGACAGAGTTTTCTTAGTCACTGCTCTTCATGTAGTTCTGAAAATGGCCTAAAGTGTTTGAAGATAGCTTGAAAGTCTGAGAAGGTTTCAAAGCCTTTGAGCTGCATTTCAGGGAACTATTAATATAAACTTTAAGATAATAGAATTATAGAATAGCTTGGGTTGGAAATGACCTTCAAGATTATCTAGTTCCAGTCCCCCTGCCATGGACGTTCACTAGATTTATATCTTTGCATTCTCGTGTATCAGAAAATCCTTACATTCCTGTTCTTATTTGGTGAACTTCATCATGATCATCTAATTCCTCTACAGCAAGAATTCTAAGTCTAGATTCACTTTCTGTCTAGCTGGTGCTTTTGTCTTACCTTTGCCATGAGCAAACCTTGCAATTTTAAGGTGTAGTTGCTTGATTGTCAGAATTTTTAGAGAATACTGCTTCAATGTTGCACTAAATAACACTTGTTTTCTCTTTTTTTGGGGATGTTAAATTAGAATTCATGTTGTTATTAAAGATTTGGAATTAAAATATGTCTAAAACTCTGAGATTGCCTTTTTTTTATTTAAGGTGTATATGATATTGTGAATAACCTCGGTTCACTGGTGGCCAGGTTTATCTTTTTGCCTATTGAGGAGAGCTTTTATGTATTTTTTGCTAAAGTGCTGGAAAGAGGGAAGGCTGTAAAGGACCAGAAGCAGGTATGTTTGTTTGGATTAATTACTTGTCAAATTGTTGATTTTTGTTACAGATGAGTTGCATCACAGAAGCGTGACTGACAGAAATATGTGTTTAAATTTGCTTATTGAGGCTGTTAAAATTGAAAAATGGAGAATAAAAATGTTGAGTGTGACTGGACCAAAAAGAAAAGAGAATGGGTAAAATAAGGAAATAGAAATGAAAATATGTAGTGGTATAGTGCTGCTTTGCATCAATAAAGTTAACTTCAGCTGCTCCAAGCAGTGTGATGGAAAGCCTGCCTTACTGTGTATTTCCAGATATAGCAAGCCATTATTTAAATAATGAAATCTAGTAAATAAATGCTATCTGGAAGTACTTTCTTTACATAAATGTAGCTGTTAAATAATGTTTCTGAAGAGTGCTACTTTGGGAAGAAAATAATTGGATTTTCCTTGTGTTTGAGTTATATGAGGAGGATTAATGAATAGGAGCTTTGTTCCACAGAGTATTATTCTTGCTCACTCATGAGGGTCAGCCTGTAGCAGTCCTGCTAATTGCACATCAGCACACAATTAAATCCTGTGCTACAGGTCTGTGGTGGGCTAAGGGAGGTGTCTGTATTTCGTATAAAACCTACCGGGTGTGTAGAACTGAAAAAATGGTGGAATAATAAATCTGTAAAAAGTGTTACCAAGTTAAGAGCATGTGTGTGGATAATTCAATAACAAAGGATACGTTTCACACCTTTTTAGACCATGCAAACTGATTTGTTTCTCTGAAGGAGCATTTCTGCATGAGAGTGGCTGTTATTACATTGATTTTGGTTCATGTAATTTACTGTGTTTTTTTTCAGGATGATGTTGCTATGGCTGCAAATGTATTGGAATTGCTGCTGAAACTTGTGCTCCTGATTGGCCTCACCATTACTGTTTTTGGTTATGCCTATTCTCAGCTGGCTCTGGATATTTATGGAGGCTCAATGCTCAGTTCTGGAAGAGGTAAAGATTTATAGACCTGACAAAAAACCACCACTCTTTAGGAGAAAAACCCTACAGCTATCATGAATCTTTTATAAATCAGCAGTTTAGGTTTTTTCCTGTGAAACTGCTATTGAAATCTGTGATTTAGCTCATCAGAATCCTTCATCTTGCTTATTTGTGTTCTTCTCAAGATATCTAGACAGGAAACTTGTTCAAATGAACTAAAGTGCTGGGAAGGATGGATAAATATAATTGCCTGGCAGAAGATTCACAATAGTACAGCCAGGATGAAAACAATCCCCCCTACTGGCTGGACAATACCCTTACCTACAGACAGGACCAAAAGTCAAATGGACTGTTCCATCTCAATCCCCAAAATGTACAGTTCATCCCACACCTGCAACCCTCCCCGGAAGCATCAGGTGTCTGTGACCCCATTGGCCTAAGTCTTGTTCCAGCCCACCTGGAAACCCCCTGATAAGGGGTCTCTGAGGGGCCAGACGCTCTCTTGGATCTTCTCCCCTCTTAGAACTTCCACCCTCTCCTCGAGCATCCTCTCTACCCCTTGTCTCTCCCCTCCACCATCCCCTCAGGCCTTGCCACGCTGCGTCTGGCAGCTCCAAGCAAGACCTTTCTCCATCCCTAATAAACCTGATATTCTAAGAGCAGCCTTCAGAGATCTCTCGTCTCCATTCATCCAAACCGTCCTGGAGCACAGCCTTCCCTACACTAAAGCTTCCATTATTAGTATTAATGTTACAAATTCTGTCTCTTAATATCAGTGTCTGTAAAAACAAAGTGGTTTGATAAAAGATATCATTAACTATTTCTCTTTCTAATGTGTTTTTTAGGTCCAGATCTCCTCCGGTGTTACTCGTTGTATGTCCTGTTTCTTGCTGTTAATGGAGTAACAGAATGTTTTACATCTGCCTTAATGTGCAAAGAAGAAGTGGACAGGTAGGAAACAGTGCCTACAGAGTGTTCCTGTGAATTTATTTGTGCTGACCTTAAAAAGGAATTGGTGCTTTTGCACAAAATAATATCCTGCCCCACAGAAAATAACTCCCTGCTAGGCAGTGTGCATTTAGATTCAGATATAGAAGCTTTAGCAAGAGTTGAAAAGTTTGGGTAAGAAAGGTCAGAAACTAAGAAATATTGTTAATTTAGCTTTAGGCAGATCACTAACTGATAAAGTAGTTTAAATGTGTGTTTTCTGCACAGATGAGCTTGAAGTTACACTTTTTAAGACAATCACTTGACTCACTGAAAGTTTGCAACTATTAACATTTTTCATGTAAAGGTACTGGACATACACTTAGGAATGGCCCAAGCTGTGGGTGTGAATCCAGTGGTTTACTACTTTGTAGGAGGTTGGACTAAGTGACCTCCTGAGAGCCCCTCCAGCCTGGATTATTTCCTGGTTCTGATGTGGCCCTTTCAAATTAATTTCAGTGAGATCTATTTTCCACAATCAAAGTGAGATCTTTTTTGACTTTGCAAGGGCTGCTTTCACCACCCCTTTAAAATGTGCACTAGTTTTCCAAGTCACTGTTTACAACAGAAATGAAATAAAGTGTCAATTTGTTCTTGAGCATTCATTTTCTTTAGTATATTCCTAACATAAAACAGCGAAAAATGCACAAGTTTTTACATAACTAATAATTGTTATTAAGTTTGATTTTCTGCAATGAGTGCACAACTGTTTAGTGTAATAGAATTCTGTTCACATAATGTAATTCTTGGTTTAATTTGGTTGATGTATTTTCTTTTCTTTCAAATGATTTTTTTTTATCCTCTCATTTCTCAAATTTATTTTCACTAGAAGATGGCAAAAGAAATTCTGTTACTGATGTTAGAAAATAAAAGATCATTAGTAAATGAATGCTGGAACTGCATGCATTGTTAAATTATTTCTTCTTTTTGTTTTTTTTCCCTAGGTACAATTTTGTTATGCTGGCTTTGTCTTTGATATTTCTGTGCATCTCTTATTTCCTGACCCACTGGTATGGCAGTGTGGGCTTTATCCTTGCCAACTGCTTCAACATGGGCATCAGAATAGCTCACAGCACCCACTACATCCATCACTACTTCAGAGAAAGCAGCCACAGACCCCTCACAGGCCTGCTGCCCTCACCAGCTGTGCTGCTGGTTTACATCCTCAGTGCTGGGGTCACTGCTTTCTCAGAGGTGAGCTCCTTCCTCTCTGCTCTCACGGACCATGCTGCTGTCAGGTGACTTTTGTGTCCACAGAAAGGGGAATGCCATTAGGAAAAAAGGCTTTTGAGGATAGGCTGGGAGATTTGCATTACAGAAAGGCAGGATATATTGTTAAGAGATTCTTTGTATCAATGTTCTCTGCCACCTGTACAAGGTGGATCTGACAAGTAAAATAAAATCTAACACATTTCTGCTGTGTGTAATTAATCCATGTTCTTTGTTATTAATAGTGGAAATTTTGCAGTGTTACCAAGAAACTGGCATTAAAAATTCTGTAATAAAAACAAATAATAACCAAAACTAGAAGAAAACCAAAAATTTGTCAGAGCACATTTAACACATTTATTCAGTACAAGATGGTAATTGTGCAGGCTGATTATTAAGGGGATTGGAGCTTTTCAATATACAAAAATTTGACAGCTTGAAAATCCATTATGCTTGAGAAAGGAGAATTTTATGTTTTGGAGTGAGAGATTTCCAGTTTGTTAGAAAATAGCCTGATATGTTGCTGTACAGTAGCAGACTTGCCTGATAGCACCAGCAGAGTTTTGTGTCATCTCAGTTAACACATTTCTGCATGCCAGATAACAGCATCTTTCTCATTCACCTTCAGATATCTATTGAATGGTTATTTTTTGCTGAACTTAAGAACTTAAATAAGTGAATGTTGTGGCTCCTGAAGATGATTTATTGTAGGGTCAGTGCACGTGCACAGCTCTACTTGGCTTGATGGTGACGTTAGTGTGTTGGACAGAGGTGTTGGACCTTACTTCTTGTTGAGGCAGTAAATGCACTTTGTGCTGAGCGGTTTTCCTGCAATGCCTTGTTTTCTTTGTTGTAGGTGTTGTTCTGCTGTGACAAGGGCTGGATGGCCAGGCTGATCCACATCAGCACAGGTGCCCTGTGCCTTGCAGCAACCCTGGTTACCATGTTCTGCACAGAAACCAAGCTCATCCACTTTGTCAGGAGCCAGTTCCTCTCCCGCTATCTGAAGAAAGGAACATGACCTGCTCCTGTGCAGAACAGTTCTTGTACATGCTTGCAGGAAAGGGCTGTGTTTTTTCCATAAGATATGTATTGAAAAAAGGTTTCCATGTGTGTTTGGAAGCACTGATAAGGGAGTGGCAATGTTGGCAACTGGCACATGAATATTATTTTGTCTTCTGAAATGGTCAGTACAGCAGAAGAGAGGTGAATAGTTTTCTCTTTATGAATCATTCTTGTCTAAGCTTTTCTTCAAACAGCCTCTGAAGATCTAAGCTGCACCCACTGATATAACCTGGTTGACAGACTGCATGTAGAGAGCTCCCCTTCCTACCACTGGGCAGCGTAGGAAGGCCTGACGTGGTTTAGAAGGCTTTTATTTGGCATGCGTGCTGCTTAACTGAGGAGAAGATGGTCAGGGAGAAAATCCCAAAACCAACCACGACTGTGAATGCCATAAAAATACCCAGAAGCTGAGGAGAACGCTAGAGCAAGGACCAGCACCAGTGTGAGTGTTGTGGAGCAGAACACAGTGTGGTGCAGAGGGATTGAGCTGTCACTGTTTGAAGTGCAAACTAGGGAACAGAAGATGCTGACGTTTACAAGTAAATTAATGCAGTACACAGCGTGTGTCCCTGCTGGCTCTGTGAGAGTATTTCATTCATCAGATCCTTCCTGTCTGAGGGCATTGATTAACTTGTCAGAAATACTCTGAAGCCTTAACTGGAAGGGGTTTTGGGCATTGTCTGCATTAGGTGTTGAGTACAATCATGGATAGTGCAGTTCATAAGGTTACTCATAAAACTTCTTGCTTTCATTCCATTGTCTTTTGGGTTTGTCTGAGATTCTAAACACCAGCATGAACAAACTTATCTCAATAAAAGTTATTTTGTCTGTACAACTGAATGTTAAATATATTTAATAAGGTTTTTTTACAAGGAATTATGCATATTGAAGATGTTTTCATTGGATAGTAAATACTTCCTTTTGTTCCAATGTTTTTCTCATATCTTGTTTCTTTACTTCTTCAATCTCAACCTCTGGATTGGTTTGGTTTTTTTATAATTGATGAAAATTTGGATGTTCAGAAGTTCTAAAATTTTGTGTAAGGCTGCTGGTTTAGGTGTACTAATGGTGTATTATATTACTGATCTAAGATCTGAACTGGGCAGTTCCAGAATGTACAAGTGGCAGGTTTATAATCATCAATGTTCCCTTTGCAGTTTTTGGATGGACCAAAAAATGTCAAGGTATGAAAAATGTGTGCTCAGACGTGTGTAGTTGAAAGCTTTTAGTTTAATTATGTAGCAACTCTGCAGATCCTCAGACTGCTTAAAAAAAACTCACTGCAGTGGTATGGTGGAGTTCATTCTGGTGACCTCAGTGCACAGGCTGAAATGCTTTCTAGTGTCAGAGCCTTCAGCTTATAGTTAGAAATATTTTCTAAACTCTGGTAGTTCCCACTTGGAAAACATTGCCAAAGATCCTTTATTTGAGAATTTGGTGATTGAAAAATTATCATAGAGAAGCCAAAATGTGACAGTGAAGGGAAGGGAGTGGCCTTGCACAGCCAAGGGCAGTTGTCTCTATTGCCTGGCTAGAAGGAGTAGAAAAAGTCTTGCTGATTCTTCTTATGCTGTTTTGAAATCTGTCAAAATGAAACAAACTCTACCTTTTTCTGTCTTCTTAATTGAATTCAGTAATTCTTTGCCTTCTACATTTTTCTCTTCGGAATGTCCTACACCTTTTTTTTCTCTTTTCTGTCAGGTGTGGAGTTAGTTGTAAAGTACGGCTTCAAATATTGCAGAGGGTTGAAACTTCTTTATGATGAATGGTCAATGCTTACAACAGCTGCTTCTTCTTTACTTGTTAAGACAGTTGAACCTATGGCTGTGTTTTAAGGTCTATCTTTCTGTGTGCCTTTGGGATCCTACTGTGGTAATATCTCAATCTGTACAGTGAATTTTTATAACTCCTTGGAATGAGAAATTTTGTACAGCCCTGCACCTAAAGTGCTTTGGAGGTGGAAGAACTTCTCATATCAAACTGAAGCTTGAAGTCATTCTGTTTGTCTGCTCTTACAGCCCCAGCTGTACACTGATATTACTTCTGCTACTGTAATCTTGTAAGTAGGGTGATGTGAGATATTCTTCAGCGACATGACCTGTGTAGTCTCATAAATATTATTTAATATAAATGAATTATTTAGTATAATATGAATTAATTTAAAGACAACTTACATTTTTATACCAGTTTGTGTTATTTTGTATTGGCAATATGATTTGTCTTATTTCATATTGGCAAATCTCATGTCTCAAATGCTATTTTATAAGAATCAGGAATACAGTTAAGGTGACTTAATGATTGCTCATTAGCAAATTAAGGACACATTCCTCATTTAAACATCATCTGTAGGCAGCTCAGTGATGGTTGACTGGTGTTTGTGATTTGGGATGTTTTATTTTTCATTTTTTATGTGGCAGGAAACTGCAAGGAGAGACAGGACGTAGAGACCTATGAAACTACTGTTTTTTTATTTATCAGTGGGATCCTTAATGTCAGAGCTATTAATTGCTTTATTGCTAAAGCAGCAAACTCTCAAACTCAGGGACCAGGTTGAGATTGAACTTGACCACATTTCCCTGTTGTTTTAGCCTTGTTCATCAGTCAAAAGCACCACTGTCTAAAGTGTCATGAAACTGTTTTAAGGAGTTCTGAAATCTTTTCGTTTCAGCCAAAGGGGAATGAAACATTTTCTTTGGTGGGGAAGGTTATGATTTCATGCTTTGTGGTGCGCTTTTCTTATTTGTTGGATGAATGATTTTCAAGGTAACACTAAATAAAGTTTATTTCCTTTATATTTTGTTGTTGTCTTCCACTTGATGATTACTGGAGTTTTATTTGCATCATTGGTACAGCTGGTGTTTGAATTTGGTTGGATTTTCTAGGATATCTTATGTATAAATTATCAACCTAAACATACACTCCATTTTCTAACACACATGGATAAAATTTGCTGTAGTAGTTTTGTGAGAAGCGGCATCATTATAGTACATTTCCCTTCTTTGTTTCTATCAAATTGTATGAATTGGAATGGCCAAATTCCTTTGCTTGTTTTTACAATGCATTGTGATAAAAACTGATTCAGTGGCCAGGAATAAATCTGATATTTAATGAAATTTTTTAGTGAATTAGTTTGTGAATGGCAATGTTGCTATTGGGAACTAACAAATTAACCAGTTTTTCAACTGTTTGATTTTCCCCCAATACTGTAAGTATTTTATTTGTTAAAAATGTAGGCAGGGGCAGCCTTTTTTAGGTAAAGAAATGAGGAGTTGAAGCTTTGCCTAAATGGTTAATCTGCTTCAGCAGGCACAAAAGAGAATAGATAAAAGTTTGAATGTTGACCACAACTGAGCACCCATAAGGGATATTGGCTTTTTAGTTCATGTGAATGATTCTGTGAGTGTCTTGAGGTCCTTGGATGCTGAACAGTCCTTCTATCTAGACTTGGACATTTTTTTGTGGGCTTCATATTTCTTGCTGTCTGAACGTCATACTTTTTTTTTTTTTTTTTTTTTGCAGTTTAATTACCTGATTTTAAAGATAATGCCAGAGAGGGAATCTGAGGCTTTTTGAACCATATCAGTGCTTCAATAGATGTGCTGAACAAAACCGTTACAGCTCAGCACAAAATGCATAACTCATCTGCATTCTGAGGGTGCTCTGGAAATGGAGCTGGTTTTCAGTGTAAGCTGAAAATGAAGTTTAAAGCTGTGCACATGTGATGTACAGCTGGGCCTTGGAAACATCAGGGCCTGCTCAAAAGTGTGAGCAGCTGGGGATTTAAAGAAAACTGATAGGAAGTGCTTATCTCTGCTTCACTTTGGATTGCTTCCATGGAAAGATGTGTGTTCTCTCTAGTTTCTGATCTGAGCTGCGCTCCATGCCCTGCCTTGCTGGGATCTAGGAGGAGGAGTGAGCCCTTTTCAGTGGGGTATCTGTCACTGCACCTCCCTGCAGTGAGCTCTGTTCATGGAATGGGGTGAGTGTGTGCCTCTCATGCAGCTAATTTGGCAGGATTTCCTGGGAACTGTAGGGAGAGGCAAAACACCTCTGGGTTTTCCTTCGTCAGACTCGCTGGTTAGGTGTGGTAAGTGAGCCTCTGGCAGAGCTCTGTGTGTTGTTCGCTGGCAATGTCTTCTGAGTCATGGATGATGTGTTTAGCATAATTTCTCTCCAAAGTTCTGTGCCATCCCACTGAGAAAGTGGCAAGGAACATAACCAAGAGGGCAGATAATTTATATTTGTGGCCCATTTAATAAAACAAGTAACTAAAGCTGTGTCAAGAAGAAAAAAACTCAACAGAGATAGTAGTCCTTTAAGACACATCAGGTGTATGAGTAGTTCCAATCCAGTAGCAAACAAGAATCGTGTTTTGTTCTTTGTGATATACTTTTGCTCCAAAAAGGGAACAATGTAACAGAGTTTGGGAGAAGACTGCAAGGTTTAGTTCTTAACATTCTCAAATGAAGAAAATTATGCACTTACATATTTGTGGCCTCCTAGGGAGAGAGGAATATGAAAGTTCTGAAGGGATGTGCCTGTGTCCCAGAGAGCAACTGAATCACAGTCATGCACTGTCTGTGAGAAAGCGCCTTGTCATCACTTCGGAATATCTTCAAATTTTTTTTTTTGTTTTTGTTTTTGTTTTGTTTTGATCCCTGTTTCATTCATATGTTGGCAAGCCATTCATAACCACCTCCTGTATGTAGGTATGCCCCTTTTATGCTGTAAAACTTCAGCCTAGCCAGTCTCATTGCAAGAATCAAGGGGCTGGTTTGAGGAAGGTGTGGGTCAGCTTGCTGAAGGTCCAGCCCTGACAGCACAGACTGAGGAGGGAGCAAATTAGGCTTGCACAGAAAAATTTAATTGTGGTTTCTTTTTTGTTGTGGATGCTTGACTTGGCAGTGCTGTTTTCCAAATGGAAGGGATTTTTGGAAGTCATTTTATTAAACAGGTGCCATAAAGTGCACTCATATGCCTTCTCTTAGTTGTGTAATGATTTTTAGAAGTCTCTCAGTGCAGAGAGGAGATGTTATGGGATGAGGAAAGGGAAGTATGCTGAGTACAGTACATGTGCAAGGCACAGAGTGTCCCTCTGGGGAGAGGCCTTTAGTCCCTCTCTGCGCTTCTGTCACTGCAGATAAAAGCATGTCTCTGCTCAAGTGCTTCTCTAGGCAACCAGGAGAACCTGTTTGGAAGAATCAGAGTATGCCCATGGAGCTTTGATGGTCAAGTAGGGTTTATTGATGCATTGAAAATGCAGGCAATAGTGTGTGACAATATATAACTCTCACTAAGAGTCCTCCCGTTTGAGATTGACTGTGTATTAACCTGTGGAAATGGTGTGGTTTTTCTGTGGTTCTTTCAGAATTGTACTGATAGTACATTTTTCTAGTATATTTTTCTTCTCTCTCAGATGACTTAATTACACAGCAGCTTCACACATGTTCATCTGGGATCTCTGCAGAAGCACAGGATGAGGACTGGGGAAGTGCTGGAGCATCACTCAGCTCCTGCTCAGCACAGTCAGGTTGGAGGAGGGCTGAGTAGAACCTCCCCTGATCAACAAGGGTGAGTGTCAGGACTCATGGCCTGAGTCTTGGCTGCACAGCTGTGAGCACCTTGCCTCAGATTCCTAAGGAAAAGTTGGGAGAGCTGAGGGAAACATCTGTAATAAAGCTGGGCAGGATAAAACAACTAGGACTTTTTTCTTGAGACAGCTGCTCCGGGATTCAGGATGAAAACCACTACAAGTATGCGTTCCGTACTGTAAATACAGAATTGGAAGGTGGCAGCTCTTGAGCCCAGAAGGTCCATTTCAGGGAGCTGCAGAGATTCCCTACCAAACCATCTGCTGGTAGAGATGCTCTAAGTGCTGTATGTGTGCTGTGCTTCATAGCTCTCTAAGTTTCAGTGGGTTTGTGCATTCA